TTCAGGACACATTTTCAACACTGCTTATTCTCACGAGAATGCAATTTGCACCGATATTTTGTTACCGATGATAGATTGATTTGAAATCTGCAAGCCCTTCATCAAGAAAAATTGTCCTAATTCGCGGCGTTTTTCTCGCACACGTTTATAAAAAAAGGTTTCAGGTGTTTTTAGTGTCTTTTTAGTCGTAGTCTCTACATGTAACTCTAATTGGGCCGGCATCAATATAAGCATCAATATAAGCAACACAGCCAGAGAACCTGCAGTAACTCGCCCTACTTGAAACTTCTTTCAAACAAATAGATTGAAAGTTTCATTTTAGCCATAAATGCCAAAGACACTGCGAGAACCCTTAGCTTCTCCCTTGTTTGTTGCTGATCAAAATTTGAATTGTTCTTATATTGCATCTACTGTGCATGCTCGAAATCTATCCAAACAACAAACAACATTGAACATCTTACGCGAAAGTAGTTGTTAACTTGCAGGAACTATATTCTCCTTGATTTTATTGCTTGCAGAAGTTCACATCTTCCGGACAAAAATGTACGTTTCCATGTTCTGCTTCTATCACTTATCCGAGCACGACGTAGAAGCGTTAGAGATTATAATGGGATATATTTCAGTCAATCAAAAGCTAAAGTACTAATACTTTAAGTAAATACTTTGTACTATATCACATCCGATTTCGTTTCAAGCTCATAACTTGCAAATGGTGTGTATAGTTTACTCTTCAAATTGTGACGACTGGATTGACTGCGATCTTTGCGAACGCAGGAGCATACAACACCACACAAAAAGGCATCACCTCAACGCGCTTAGCCAATTCCAGGGTCTACTGTCATAAACAAGCAAAAAACCATTCGAAGACAAGCAGAAAACCATTCGAGTACAGATAAAACCAATGTTGCTGAAAGTGTATTCGTGTCGCGCGCATTCGCGTCAGCGTTACGAGTTTCGATTGCCCTGTAGATGTACGGAGTAGGATCTGCAGTCGCAATGCCGTCCGCCGCACTAAAAGCTATCTCTCAGAAATGTGAGCAGACGCAGTGTCAATAATTACCACAGATGCTGTTTACTAACCAAAAAAATATCACTTTATGCTTGCCTTCTGTACTTCGCATCACAGCTTTCACTATAATGTTCAATTTAATGCTAGAACAGTGCGAGAGCCGTGTTGAACAACGTAGCTTTGCTTGGTTCTCACCATTCTCTATCTAACTATTCGCGATTGCGTGAGCTTGGAAAAAGGAGACAACTGTAAACTTTAGATTCTAAACTCTGTAGCGTTTAATTGCGGACACTGGACTGTTGCTGTTGTATGAAGCTGGAAATGCCAAGTATTTTTTCCAAAACAATCTTGGAAATGACTAGATAAGAGATATCTCAGCTCAGTCCAAAGCTCTCTCCAACGCAGCTTCGTTGCGACACACCAATTCTTAGACTGCTTTAGGCATCCAACCGACGTTACGAAACATACGGTTGCATCACTTCGAGTGGCTCCTGTCAACGATGGCCATCATGGAAGAGACTTCTATAAATTGTTAGAGGTAAAATCTAAGATTCAAGTATTTCATTAAAAGATTCAGCTTTTTTACCACTCATCCTGAACACCGTCGCTTCTACAAGGGAGCCGAAAATTATAGTGGTGAAGATGTACTGAAAAGCGAAAGGTCAGAGATAAGACTTTTGGTAGAATATTCCATCGCTATTTTGTCGCAGATTCGACAAATTGGGAGATGCTATATTGCTGTTCGTTCACGTTTTGGCTAATACGTATGAAAATGTAAGCGTCCCTTGTTGATTAAACCACTTGAATAAGCATGTGCTTCTGAGGAATCCGTCTTCCGCTCTTTTGTTCGCAGAGTGATGATTGAGCATTTTGGAAGAGACGTCGATCCTCCACTTTGGAAGGTTGGGTCCTGAATAATAGCAAAACCTCAAATTAAGCCACGTCCTTTCAGAGTTTCTGGGAGTATTGGACAGGTTACTTGGTTAGCAAGGGAGCAGACCTTTCTGCTGAGCAAGAGTTGGCGTGGCAAGCATTGGGTACGAGGTTCAACGAAGAAGCCCAGTCATACTTGGCAAAAGTGGGACGCCCACATGCTTGAATTTCAGCACTGATTTGATACGGATGATATCTGGTACTTGAATAAACTCATTAGATTTGTTACTGTGTAAGAGACGCAGAAGTATGCAAGAAAATAATAAACATTGCTTCCAGGTTTTTTTGAGCTAGGCATATTTTGCATAGTGGTGTGTGCCTCAAAGGCAGTGGCTCGGCAAATCTCAACCTAGTCAAATTTGCGCTTACCTAAGGTTATTCAATACGGTGATCCCAAAAATCCACTTTTGAAGGCTTGAAAACGGCGAAAATAAGCGTTTTTAATGCCGTTCCCTTTGAAATTGGACGAGTGGAGCAAGGCCGATGACGCTAAATCGTTGCAGGGCCCAATGGTTATAGCGTTGCGGCGGGCAGCCTCCAATGGTGAGAAGGAAATTGCCAACTCGTCCAGATGCGTGTAAGATTGGCCTGCACGTGTAAGATTGAGAGCGATTTTCTCGGCAAAGAAAGCATGCTGTGCAAAAAGGATTGCACTGTTTTCATACTTGGGCAATGAGGAACCTAACGCGTTAAAATGCCGAGTTGTTGGATTTTGCCGATCCACTGCCTTTTAAATACGTTACCGCTCCTAATTGCGAAACGCACCGGTCACCTGAGTTGTGTGACATCACAGTAGCGTAGCCATATCCCGCCGAGTACGAAATTTGAATTTATATTATTCGATTTAGTTAACGAGTTGCATCTTTCGCCTATTTGGATACGTTGGCACAGTAAGCAGCCCGATCTTACGAATGGATACAATTTTCGCTGCGATAGAGCAGTCACTGTGCACTGATTAAGTATCTTGAGTAAACTAGGTGAGCAAAATTCTGATAGGATTTGCGAAATTTAACTGCCTGTCGAGCACATAAAATATCCAAACAGGTGCCTCTATATATGAGAAGATGCGTGGAGTTGCGATTGGTGCGATTGGGATCAGTACAGGGTTTGGCACAGCTGGCATCGTGTCAAGCTGAATACCGCTTTTAGGAAAAGCAAAGGAAGTATCGTTTTTGTGGCCAAAAAACAAAAATTGTAATGCTTTTTCTGTCGACGTTTCGTTTTTGAGGGTTTTTTCCGCGTTTAGGATATAGGGTTAAAGGAGACTTCGTACGAAATTTTCAGGATCAAAAGGGACTTTATTTCGAAATTTCTTTGGTGCTAGCTCGTACCGAGCTCTGGGTTGAGCCAGACTTCGCGGGGAAGCGGCGTACGCGGCGTACGCAGCGTACGTAGCGTACGCCGCGCAGTCTGGCCCAACCCTCTGGATCAGTCGTTCGTTTGAAAGCGAGACATGGCCCCCTATGATGAACCTAACTCATTGTTCGATGGCCGGCGCGTCTTTTTTTGCAGAAGTTATGAGCGGTATTGTGTGTTGATTCGAAATTGACGCAAGCATTACTTCCCGGTTTCTTTTTTGTTGAGTTCGGCATGCACTATCGTAGTGGTGTGCGCTTTAACATGTTAATTCAAAATTGGCGCAAATTTACATAGATACGTACCAATCCCCAGTTGGCTTACTAGCGCACTCGCCAAATCAGCATTGTTTCAAGCAACTGTTCTTATTTTTAGTAGTGTATACTACATTACCACAACTCGGGAATTTCTGTAAGAGTGTAGGGTGATAGCCTCAAACATGTTGAAAGAAACCTTGAAAAGCCGAAACTCTATTCTGCGCTTATGGCAATATGGGAATCCACATTTTGGTGTACTTACACTGAAGATCTTCATTTAAGTAACAAGCTGGTACCCTAGTAATTGGACGAATGACGAGTGTTCCACAATGATGTGGAACGAATGAGAGCCGCTCTATTCGGACTACCTATTCCAAAAATATACTTTGTAACCATTGTCCCTCGAATCTGCGCGTATTTGCGAAATTTTTTCCAATGGATATAACCTTATTCTTTCTGAATCTCTCTGTACCTCGGATGTTACACCAATGTTGAATACGATTTAGGTGTAAAAAGAGTGGAGAGTTACCCTTTGATTCAGCTGGATTGGCGGCTGGAAGGCGAGGCTTCGTGAGCTAGAAGACTAGAGAATGATCAATGAATCAGAGACGCAGATCGCGTCGCGGGCGCCAGGGCCTCAATTAGGTCACAAAGACCGCCTTCCAGCTGCCAAGCCAGTTAAATCAAAGGTATAATGTGTACAGTCTACCCGATCCCAATCAGACCCCGTTAGGGTTTTGCGTCACGCCTACGGCCTGCTTGCCTGCTCTCTCTTCCATCTCTTCGCTCTCTCCGACGCTGCGCATACGCAGCGCAGAGTAGGGGCGCGCGTGCGCGCAAATCCGCAATCCAAGAATTCGGCCTGTTCCCGATCGGGGCATACTGTATGACTGGCTACTACTCCCCCCCCCCCCCTCCCTGGCCTCTCGAATACAAGGTTCAATCAGCCCTTGGTCCTGACTTGGAAAAAAGAACTTGGCAGAGCACCGATCGTGGAGCATGAACAGTTGCTTGCGCTGAAAGTTCTTTGAATGCAAGCACACATGTATAAATAGATTAAGGTAACGTAACGCCATTCTCACAACTTAACCAAAAATTGCACTTCTCTTTGCAACGGAAACACTGCTCTTATGCTCATTCTCTTGATTAAGGATAAATGGTGACTATGAGAAGCAAGTTCACAAAAATAAAATTCCCATTCATTGATTAAGACTTTACTGCATATTTTACAATTGTGTTCAAGGAAACGGAATCAGCGTTAACGATCGTCGTTGCTCACGGCTATTCTTTCGATCGACTTGCAAGTACTGATCACTATTGTTCAGCAGAATGTTATGCTGATTTGGCGAACTCAGCCTAAATTCAAATTTTTGATTGGATGCTTAACTATTTAGCTTGGGCCATGAAATTAGAGAATTTTTAAACTAAAAAAACTGAGCTCACCTTCGCATGGTTGTGTAGTCATGACTACATCGCGATGGTCTTGCACGGAATATACTCCTACTTCGACAATGTAAAGCCGGTGATGAGTCGCCTTGACTGATGGGACCGGCTAAACGTGTTTCATCTGAATTTATGTGCAATCCTGATTTTAAACAAAAATAGCGCTAAAAAGGACCTGTGAAATTAGATCTTCATATCATAATGATCAATCAAATTTGCCTTAGTTCCCTAATTGCAAATAAATTTCTAGGCAGAAATCGCTCATAAGTCTAGAAGTAGCTGCCATTATTGGCTTCTCCTCAGCCCTCCTGTCAGGACGCTCGGCAGCCAGTGGTAACTGCATCAGACAAAGGGGATTTTGCCATTGGCTACCGTGCATCCTAACACGACTACAGGTGATCAAAGAAAGTAGGTCGGGGATGAGATGGTACTAGATTAGCGTTGGAAGGCGGTCTGACCTAATCAAGACTAGAGAATGATCAGAGAGCATGCTCGCAAGATAGACGCAGACTAAGTCGCGGGCCGGTCGCCTTCCAGCCGCCAATCTCGTTGAATCAAAGGGTATGCGTTTGGTGCGATTTCTTTGATCCAAAATTGAGTTGCTCCATTGCGTTGGGCAACGACGGTTGTTAAGTTGCCTCCCTTTCCCCACCCCCCCCCCCCTTCCCCCGAGCACCGAAAGACCACCCACGGGAAACGCCATAACCATCCCGAGGACGTGCCGGTAAGTACTCGATAAGCGTCCGACAATACCCGCGGATGACCCGATAAGCGCACGAACAACACCATCGAGTGGCCCGACAATTGTCCGATATGCCCGATATGCACCCGGTATCTGCGTGTGAAGAATATTGCACACGTATTTCCATTCCCACGTTAGCATAAATATTCTGCATAAAAGTGAAAGTGATGTCTAGACCACCTTAGAAAAAGTTCGGTCAACCCCCACAGGTTCCAAAACCAAGGCAGTGGTGGCAACCCGAACGCTGTTGACAACCCCAACGTTGACTTTGATAGCATTCTAACTTACGATGCAAAAGTTAAGGACTGCCTCATAAGTGCGACGTATCTTACGCGATTAACGTTCCCTCTTACAGCGTGTATGAATAGTGGCGCCCCAAAAGCCCGGGGCTCGTCAGGGTGATTGGCCTAAACAGCCTGGGGTCGCGCGAGAAATCATTACGCAGAGGGTTCTGTGAGGCCCGAAGCTCGCCTGAGCGCTTTTTCTTGAGCAAAAGGTCCGCGGCCTTTCTCTTGCGATAACCTTGAGCCGCGGGTTGCCAAACAAATAAACTAGGGCCGCGGATTGTCACTTCAAGAATTTGAGGTTCGCGCACTGCCAAAAGGTAGTGTTAGAAGCCACGGGTGCTCGCAGTAATCGGCTAAATCGTTCGGTAAAAAATTTTTCCAGCCGCCACCTCCTTATTCTCTAAAATTTCGGGATCGTGGGCTAGCAGAAATTCTGAAAAGCATCCCAGGAATTTTTCGAAGCGGGTGGTAAACGCCAAAAAAAAACAAGACCTTCATTCAAAAAAAATTTTGTTGCAAATTATTCCCGCTATCGATAATAACACTTTTTGTCCCCCCCCCTCCCTCCTTCCCTCTCTACCCTGCCCCCCGCAAACCCTAGGACCCCAACGGTTATCCACTGTTGACCAAGTTTGTAACTCAATTGACTCAAAAGCTGCTTTCAAACTGGAATAGTCTCTTACATATGATAGGCGAGAGTGGTGGTTCAAGAAAATGCGAAGCTGACCGACTTCGTCCTTGTCGCAACGATGCCATAGAAATTATACTACTGAAAAGGACCAGTTTTCGTTGAGAAATTGAACTGAAGCATAAAAACAGACTTTGTAATACTAAGCCGCATTGGTGTTTTCTGTGATGCACAACCTTCGTAGCCTCGTTTCATAGACTCAACAACGGTGTTCATTAACTGTCGCCAAGCGTCTATCAACTCTTCTTCTTCACTCTTATCAGCATGTACCCGCACTCGAAATATCCGCCGTATTCTGCAATTCATGCAAATGTCAGCAAAATGAAAAATAGTCATAAAGTCTAAGTGAGATTTTCTTACCGATTATCATGATTTACAATATCCATATAAGTTTTAGCCATTACGATTGGTAATTGAACAGCAAATGGAGCCCAATATGAGTTATCGTTTCCCTCATTCATATAATTCCTGGAAAGAAAATTTGACTATTGCTTGTATTATAGTTACGTACATGTTTATAGCGGTTTGCATTTGATTTACCTTTTTTCCACAAAAAAAGGAAACAAATGGTACATAACTTCATATAGCTTACGTTAAACATTACTCGCCCTGCACTTATTCGTTTATCATAACTCTTTGTTAGCAAGTAGTTACTACGAATTTGATGTCCCATTCTTGTTTTCCTATCTCTCACGTCAAATCGAAAAGAAAAATGTCTCGAACCCCAAAAACACAAAAGCTTTATGCAAGTGGAAAGATATTACTGTTTTTTGACTAAGCAAGTTACAAAATAATATCAATCCGCGTGATTTGTGATTCCCATAAAGTTGAAGCAAAAATCTGATAGCATTTCACTACCTAAAAAGCAGGAGCAGGTCCTAGCCCAAGAAAAGTCTTACGAATATTAGTTGGTGAGGTTTCATGCTGCTAGCCCAAAAAATCTTGCAAACATTATATTATATGTTGAAAATGTTACATTTCAAGTCTTACATACATTCAGCGCAGTTGCAGTGTTCTTTATTTAAAAACTGAAATTAAGAAAATGGCCAATGTCTGAAAAATTCAATCTATTTCTTCCATAATATGGTTGCATACTATGAACCGTGCATTTAGAAAATTGGACCCCTTTATGTGCCCTACATAGTGAGCAAAAATGACACTTCTAGTAAAAAAACCAAAAACTGACGATCTAAAAGAAGAACTTCAAACAAAAAAAATCCAAGAAACTATATCACTACATATGTGCTGAGAGCTTTGCGAAATTTCTAAAAAAAATTTTCTTTGAGGAACTACTTCTCTCAAATTCTAACGTTGAACTTAACGTATATGATATATGGGATCTCTGATAGTCGTTTTATATATAAAGCTTGCTTCAGCTCATTATGTTAGCCCTTACGTCAAAAAAAACAAAAACTGAAAACTCACTTATGCCGTTCTCCAAGCCGAAAAGATAACGTCTTTATCATCTCAGGATCACATTTATGTACTTTGATGAGCAAATGTAGGAAGTCGCGAACCTAAATTTTTTTTGTCAGTGGTATTGAATTAAATTCGATCGCAGTGGCTATTTCCACCAGATTTATTTCAGGTCCCTTTTGAGCACGAATTCCGAATAATTGATAATTGAAAACCCTTATGAGACATTAATTTCATAGATAACATTTTCATCATAAAAAGCTCTCTTTCAGGATTTGATTAAAAGGTTCTCATATATGAATGTTGGCGCTTTGATAATGAATCAAAATCGAAAATGCAAGAAAGATTCATGGCTGTGCAAGGCTGCAAAAGAAATTCTTCTATAATTTTCTAAAAAGATTATTACGATTAATTATCGGGGTTGACTGCGAAATAAGAAATTGCCCTTTTTTTGGTTTTGCGTGAATTTTCTGGATAACCAAAACAATAGCAGCAAGCAATAACAGCAATTTATAGAAGAATTTAGATATTGACTTTCGGAAAGAGTGTTTTGCATCCTGGCATAACTGTTTCACACTATGTGCTAGCTCCATTTTTGAAATATTTAGAGACAAAAAAGGCGAACGAAAAACGACAAAAAAGGCAAGCTCTGAGTAGCAGCGTATTTCCAATCATTTTAACTTTGAAAAAAAATTATCGATCGGTAAAAGGAAGGCTAACCTGTTCTATCAAACGTACGAACTTTTTATTTTCTCTATAGTTCGCATGCATTGTCTCCGGCAGATCCACTAGTGCCCATACCCATGTAGGCGTTAGCTCAGCGGCTTTTAACCAGGCATCGCTAAAAAAATATACTTTACCAACAATATTTCCAGAAGACAGAAATACAGAAATTTTTTGTTTTATTTCGCTATTTCTAATATTTTAGATATTTTACTATCATTTTACTTCGCTATTTCTAATATTTTCAAACTTGCCTTGCCTTCAATGCCTTCACAGACAAATAAAGTCATTATATTGGTGCTTCACCCTATTCTAAAATGGAAAATAGGGACAAAAAGAAAAATTGCCAATAAAGAAGAAGAAAATCAGCCTTTGATGGATCTCATCTAAAAATTTGAAATTTAATGAAGAAGTTAATTGCAATTGATTTCTGAGAATGATTATTTGGAACAACGATTGAAAGTATCGAATTTCAAATAACTGGCAGGTAGACCTTTCCTTCTGTCCAAAAAAGGAAAAGTATTATTGACTTAGTATTGTAAACTTTCAATAAATCACTACAATATCCGGTCTATTACAAAACATAACAAAACATTCAAAAAATCACAAAAAAATTTAGAGACTCTTTTGCCTGTGTCTAGTATTTTATTTATCAAATCCTTAAACATTTTGTTGGAGCTAATGAAAAATAAATTTTGTTCCTTGCGATCAGGCATAACTTATAGAGTTGAAAACCATGAGGTGTTTATTGTCCGGAAAAATCTGCTCATAGCTTTTTTCGACTTTCGGGGCTAAGGGATTCCCCCTTCTTACGAATTGCGTCATAACTAAGGGTTTCTTCGCTAGACGCTCTAATATTCAATTACTGTCAATGAAGATGTTTTTGTAAAGAAAAGGAAGCGTAGGCAATGGTCAGACCTGAGCTTGATTGGGCACTCTCAGGAAACGAAAGAGAGTGTCTATTTCCTAGGGCTCGTGACAAAAGTGCTAAAAGTACTCTTCTCTTGAATCAGGTTTATAGGCGTAACAGAAAAATTGGTTTACAACTCTAGCTTGAAATTTTAAAATGTTCGTTCCGATAATGAAAAAAACGCCCTGCTGATTGAAAAACTCAAAAATTAACTTCAAAATTATCTGGGACGTCCCAATACATAATGCATATAATTTATTAACTCACTCACCCATAATCAAGATGCATACCGAATCTTTCCCAATCGAAATCAGAAGTTTCAAAAGAGTGATTGAAAAATGCAAAAAAAATTTTGTTAAAATTTTGCCATTTTTGCTTTCCTGCCTTTTTTACTCAGATTCTAAGGAATTTTTTTCAAGTGTTCAGAAACCGTTCAAAATAAGTCGTAATTTTATTTTATCATATATAGCATGTGCTGTAATTCGTACTTATAGAAACGAGAAAATCAAAAAAAAATCGAAAAATTCAAAATAATAGTCGCTTCTATGACAAAAGGAATTTGCGGGCGCCAACGACTGTAACAATATCCTTCCAGAACTTCCTTCCCTATCTTCCCTCCTCTCCTTCCCTTCCCACTTTACCTCTCTTTTCTGGATAAAGATCTCACATCGGGTCCTACACCCTTTCATCTTATCCTTGCACTGAGCGCCCACATAAATTTTCGCTTTTCTCGGACTCAGATGTCGCGCAGCCTTGACTTATGGCTTAGGAAGACATTCACAAAGAATGGCCGACGCTGCTTTTTCCGTAAATCTTGAGAAATCTTGAGAAATACTGCACTATACGCTTTTCACCCACTCGCGCCAGTCGTTTTTGGCCCCGCCATCGGCTACAAATCAGCAGGAGTCGCACATCGTCGCCTCCTACTTTTCTCTCCTAGCATTTACTCAATTGTGACGTAGCTAGGGCTATTTACGTCGCGAATGTGTCGCGCACGAGCGAGTGCCGAGCTCGAGCCGAACGAATGCATTACTATGCACTTTGTCGGATGAGAAGAAAAAGCTAATGTTGATTGCAAGATTGCAGAAGTGAAAAAAATGACGCTTAGTCTTTGAAGGCGCGACATCAGTTGAAATTGATTTATGGATGTGATTTACTTGTTCATTCTAGACTCTCTAAGATAGTGAGTGCAACAGTGAAGATGAAACGTTAGCTTTGGATTCCACACCATTTTACTGGAAACAAAAGTAAGTTTACAATACAAAGTGTCACTGTCATTTTAACTTCACTTTGACGTTAACAAAATTTCAAGCCTAAGGTTGCGCCAATGGACAGTGCCAGAATATAAACTTGACGATGGTACCCAGGCCCTGCTTACCTGCCCAACACAAATTACATAGTATATTTAGGCAAAATTTTTAATTATTTTTGATGTGAAACAAGAGAGGAAAACAGAAAAAGAGACGTTCTTGGTAAAAGCATGAACGTAAAGTACAGTATATCTTTTTTAGCAAGTACTAAACGGCAAGCTCACCAATTGCAAATAGCAAAATTCAATTTTTTTGATGTGCCTTGCTATTACATACATAGCTGCTGATGGAAATACCTTACTTCCTCTACTTTCTTCCAATTAGTCTTATCCTGATTCTCTTTTCCCTACCTCTCGTGCCAGATATAAACCGTGAGAATGTGTTGAGAATTGACCAAACTTATTGAGTCTATTAGTTCCTCTCCTGTGATTACTATACTATAATTTATGAATTGCAGTACGACCGAGATATCGTGGATTGATAATGTGACTGATTATGATTGTGATTTATAGAAATTTAAGAGAGTCAGAACTCATTGGCAAACCTTTTTGAACAGCCCAATGCATTGATCAGGAAACTTTAGTACACCAGTTTTGACCACATCCAATGAGGGTCTATGAGGTCAAGAATTTGTTTTTTTATGTTTTTTATACCTGCTTCTCCTAGCAAAAGAGTTGACATGTACCTTATCTTGTGTGCTGCAAAACAAAGCACATAATCTTACTTTGCGCGTTATAGCATTTCTCAGTGAATTCCGAGATGCTGTGGGGTTCCCGTGTCAAGACACTAACATTGTGACGCTGAAAATCAGCTATTCCATTTGGATTTGCAAGGACATTTTCGAAGCAATTTGAGAGCAATTGCATAAAAGATTAATGGGTCACAGCAATCGTGTAGATTGCAGGGGATTACTTCGAAATTGGACAGAATCAGTTGCGCGCATGTGATTAATTGCCAAACCCTGCGACAAGGAAGCCAATTTCTCGAAAATCTGACAGATGATTGGATTGCTGGAAATGATTAGTTGTGATTTTAAAAAAATGAAGAAATAAGCTATTGCAAGATATTGGTTTTTTGCTTTTTGACTCTGATTGTGAATGATGGAGCGGACACTAGTCCAACAAATTAGAGTGAGATATCAAGATGGGACCAATTAATGTGCTCGGAAATGAGTCTCGCATCAAGATTTTCAAAAAATTTAAAATTTTCTCCTTCAAATGCAAAAAAATCTTTGCGATATTACAAATCCAAAAAAAAATTAGGAACTTATGCATTTCATGCTAATGCCAAGAAGTAAAAAGTGTTGATATCTAGCGACAACTGAAAAAGGAAAACACTCGATTTGTCATTTTATCAAGTCACCAAAAATGCAGAAGGGCCCAATAAATTCTTACATTTTAGTTTAGACTTACAATCTACTCTTTCCGATTAAAAGGAACCTGTACTGCTCGGGCTAGGTAATTGTAATCCGAAATTCTTTTAAATTTTATTTTCTTCCTAAGAGATCTCTATCTTGGACCAAAAGAAATATATAATATGTAATAAAAAAATGTCATCAAATTGAAAAGGTTGTTTGAGCCCAAACAATTTCTTTAAGTTTTAGAGGATTTGATAGCTGACACAATTTGACGAGGAATATCAATAAAAAGCCACAGAAATAAAACTCTATGTTAGAAGGATTTCCAAACTTCATTGCATTTGTAGAGGTAAGTCACTGATGACTGATCAGTACAAGTATGCACGTACAAAACCTTTTTTCCGTTCCCTCAACGATTTTGCAAAATTTTCCTACCACATTTGCTAGACTCCGAACAGGATCTGATTTAAGGAAATTCATGCCTATTTTTTAATGTCAAAACTCGGAGATGTAACCAAATATCTTTCTTTTTTATTCTTTTCGCAACGGTTTTCCCAAAATTCTTCATATCCCTAGCAATTATTCGCTGTAGCTTTCCCTTCAATTTTTAGGCTTGAAAAGTGCTTTTAAAATAGAACATGTGTCTAGACTATACTTGAACAGCGCCAATTCCACCCCATTTACGGCCAAGAATAGCTTCGCAATGTGTTTTTTTTTCAAGTAACACATCCAATAAAGCGCTCTACCATTGTTGATTTGCCCTTTGGTGGCGGGATATTGCATGGCCAGAGTCCAAGCGCTTCAGCAAGATAAAAACTCTTTGAAATTCCCTGGAGCCCTTTGAAATGACATTGCCCATGTTTGAAGATGGGTGATATAGCTTTGATGGCAATTTTTTTGAGATGCAATTTTGAAAATGAGTTGCACTGCTGTGAAGAGGAACAAAAGAATAGCATATGGTGAAAATTACATCTGTATCTACGTCATTCCGCTCTTCTCCTCAGAGGGCTATTATAAGAAGTTATATCAGCATAAGAGCAGATGAAGCCGGTTATAAAAATGCCTGTTGGTCTCAGCGGGATGGCCCAAGAAAGCTAAAAACGTGCTGGTGAGGCTAAAAAGGGGAAATTCAGATTATGGTAGTTTTTGGTATGGAAGCATTGAAAAGCGGGGTTCAGTGTAACAGAACTAATTTATTTCCAAAAATGAAAATTTTATTTTCGATCTCAGAGTCTATTTAAACCGATACAGAAATTACTCCTTCACCACTTAACAACTTAAAAACTAATCATCAAGGATTGTTAGAGAATCACTTGAGTACGGAAAATGCCAAACAATTTTTCCTCCAATTTGAAAACAAATTTTTGGCAAATCTAATAATGACCATTTTTGTTCCACACTAGAATTCTAAAGTCACTCGTCATGCTTTCTCAGTAGTTGATGCTACCTAGATAGTCAAAGAAAAGCTTGTTAGGCCCTCGTGGGTGGTCTGCATTCTGAATTTTTTGCAGATTTTCCGGAAAAAAGTTAAAATTACCTTA